TACAGATACAATATAACAAAATAATGACAAATTAAATTATAAGCGGAGAGGGGCTTATCTCGAGATAACGGGTACAGTAAGTTTACAAATGTATAACAATTATAGCAAATAACAAAATTAATTAAATTTAAATTCTAAAGAATACCAAAACATTACTAGAATTCTGAATTGTGAAAGTTAAACCAACCCGCACTTGGTTTTTAGTTAATTATCTGTCTCGCACTGTTGTTTAATATTTAACTGTTCTTACTGAGAATTACATGTTCGTGATAATTATTTATTAGCAGTTCTTAATAGCTGATTGACAGTTTCTATGAAAGTAATAAATGTTCTTTTAATTGAATGTTAAATCAGTAGTTAACCTTAACTACAGGTGCAGAAATGGTCGACGTAGATTCGTCCAGATAATTGAAGGTAATACGATTACGATAACTTACGATAAATCTTGATGACTGCTGCACTACTTCACTGAAGCTAATGTACATTACTAGTTTTAAGCACTGAAGTTAAAAATAATACAGGTACTCTATAACCACATTAAATCTATTATGTTAGTATATTAAGAAACTCAAATAACACATTTAAAGAAAAAATTCACAGAGACGGTAATATAAGCAGGCGTCTTTAATCAAAGACCGCCCTGTCAGAAGTGATGTTCTTCCTCTCAAAATTTCACAAGCTTACCAAAAAAAGATGGGATAACTCCCACTTAAAAATGACAGGCCAGCCTGTATGTATTTCTAGGGAGGTAAAAAGGTTCTAACGACATCGAAAATAACGGGACCCTTCTAGCTAGGAACGTGAGGAAAGATAAATCCTTTTAGATTACGTTCTCAGAAATATACTATAACGTGCTTTGACGATATTTACCAAATTTATCAAAAAGAAGCCGCCTGGCACCGGAAAGTATTAACTAAGTAGATTCTTGCGTAATCTGAGAAGTCGGTAAGTTCCAATAAAATTGAACAAGGGTGAGCAAGCCCATCCGCGTATATATTTGCAAATACGGCTATGGGCGTCTCAGCAACAGCGATAAAGAAATGAAAAATTATTTATTATTTTAATTATAAAAAAATGTTACATCATCTTTCAATCAAACTTGAATAATCATGAATGTGTTGCTTGTGTGAGTCCATTTCAAATAGGTAAAGAAATAATAAATAAGACTTACTCACAATCAATTTAATTTAACTATCTGACGACCGGTTTCGCTTTCTACAATATGCAAAGCATCCTCAGGTCTCGATACAAAGTTAAACAAATGCTGAAATAATAAAAACCCATATTAGGGTGTTGTCCAATAACGATAAACAAAGTAGATGTTGTAAATTACAATAATTATGCCAATATTACATGTCTGTGGTTTTATTTAAATGAGTAAGTTGAATAAAAGGTATAAAAATTTTAAAAGTTTAAACAGACAAGGTAAGGCCCACAAATTGTTATAAAATAGTCTCTTCGATTGTAATAAATTAACAAATGAGCAAATAAATAAATAAAATAAACATTACTTACATGCCGGTACTCTATTAATTGATGGATGGTAGAACATGGTTGAAACTACTATATATTGTTGAATGGAGAACTCAATTCTATTATTGCAGTTGTTTGACAGTAAACGGGAAGTTCTTGAGGAGAAAGATTTGATCCAATGAAGAAGAGATATGTGTGTGATTGTTTGTTAAATGAAAGTAATGTAATATATCATTGTGTTATTAAAAGCTATTTATACTTATTCGAGAGATATATTTTTGAAATGTGTGTTATTTATTGAGTAATTGTTTTAAGAAGGTGACAGTTTTATGACAATGAATATGTTTAGATGTAAAATTGTGTGGGTGTGCAATTATTTTCCAACCTGTAGTTATCAAATTACTTTGATAAAGTTCTATTGGCAATTAGTAAATTATTGGAAAGTCAAGTGAATAAAATATATTAAAATACAAACAATTAAGGACAATTCAAACACACTAAAACAGAAAACACTTAGAAGGGACGAAACAAACATTGAATTTAAAAAAGGGGGAAGGGCTTTAATGCACTACATCGTAGTCTTGGGCACAATGAGTTTTTTTATGTTTTATCTATTAGATTTTAGTGGTAAATTTGACAGATGTAGGTTAGCATGTGACAGTTCTTCTTCTGTTTCTCAATACTGTAAGTTAAGTTATCTAGTTTTATGAAATATGCTGTTATTAATGAATGTCTATAAATTGTTTCAATTTAGATATCAAAAGTAAATTGATGTGTTTAATATTGGCATACTTTAACAATCTTTAATTAATCAAATTTAATGTAACAATATGGATAATTGAAATACATCCTACAATATAACTAACTCAGTCTAATGTCCAAATTACTGAACAAATTAAAGTAATTCTTTGGCAACTGAACATGTACATTTTATAATCAAATGTATAATAAGTTTACAAGGTTTTTTATTTTTATTTGAAATTGTTGTAGGTGTGAGTTATCTGTCAGGGTATTTTTTTTTATTTTATATCTCAAATAATTTTGCAACAGTTGCTATCAACAGGTCCTCGTAGACACTTCGTCTCAGGACCATTTTACTCATGTAGAGTCATACGCCGCCATGTTACCTATCCAACGGTAATTTAACCATCACAAATTATAAATACTAATAATGTAAAACAACTTCAAATTCAAAACATTTAAAGGGTTTTTTACCCATATATTTTGGTGCATGTACAACCGTTTGCACTGATGATGGATTGTTTAAATCCGAAAACGTTTTGCAATGTGTTTGTGATAGCCCGTTTAAGGCATTTTTTATATACCTTTTATAAAGGATTTTAAACAAAATTTTTTTGATTATATTAAATTTATGAAATACCTTTTGAATGCGAACACTGTAATTAAGGCACAGCTTTAACTTCAATAAATTTTAGGGTAAGTTGACGTTAGGCTTATAATATTAAACATAAAGACAGTTAGATAGATATTACATAAACCAATAAAAGAAAGTATTTTTTGCATCGTTTTCATACTTTTCGTTAACTTCTCTCTCTCTTTCTCTATCTCTCTCTCCTCTCTCTCTCTCTCTCTCTCTCCTCTATTCTCTCTCTCTCTCTTTAGTTATATCTCTCCTATTGGGCGCTTATGCGTTACTTGGCCAAAAGTGTTAGATTGCTGACTGGCCGGGACAGCGCGTCATCTTTCTTGTTTATTCTCTGGATAAACTGTGTACTAGTTTCTTATATTCTATTCTATTTCTTGCTTTGTTTAATTTCACCTATCTTAGTCCACTTTTTTATGTTCTCTCATTGTATTTCTTTTCCAACTATTGTCTTGTCTTCCTATCATTCTGTACTTACCCCTGGACGGTATTCAAGTGCTTGTCTCGTTATGTTGCTTCCATTTTGCCTTAAAATACGGCCAATCCATTTTTTTTTTTTTTTTTCATTGACTGTTATATAGTCCAGTATATTTTCAGGATTTTTCTTAAAGGTTTCTTTACAAAATTTTGCAGGTTTTTAGTTGTGATTTTGTCCTGTTTCCATGTTTCTGCTCCGTATTTTGTTTGTTTGACAGGTGTTATTTAAAACGTTGAATGCATGTTGCCTTTATAATTCTCATATGTATATGCTTTTTTTGCTCCCTGTTCCTTTCTACAATTTATTACAAATACGTGAACTTTATACTCTTTTCTTCCTTACATTATCATTATTTTATTATGGATATTATTTGAGTTTAGCTTTATCTGTGTTTAGTCGAAGTCCAATCGTGTCCGAGAACTGTGCGAACTTGTTAATTTTTCTTTGGATATTACTTCGGTGTTTAATTATTAGGCAGATGTCATCCGCAAATTTAATTTTTTCTAGCTGTTTGAATAGGTTCTATCTGATTTATGTTCGATCGTCAGTTACTTTACTTTACTTATTACCCAATCTATCGTAATAAGGAATAGGGTAGGCTATAGTACACAAACCTTATTGACTACAGTTTCTATAGCTATATCGTCTGTTACTTCACCTGAGTGCCAGTTTGGCTTCGTATCCTTCGATCTTCTATGATCTTAAGCTTCCATTTCACATTATTGTACCCACTTCTGAAACTCACATCAATATCTTTATTTCATTCATTTGCTTGTTCCTAAATAATTCTTAAGGATGCAAATGTGGTCAATGATGGAGTATTTGGCATGGAAGTCTGCTTAGTTACTTCTTAGAGTTCTCCTTTTTTGGGTATTTTTATTATAAATCCCTATTTCCACTCCTTTGGTAATTCTTTGTCAGTCCATATCTTGTTCAAAAGTATATGTAACATTTCTATTGATTGCTCAGTATCTGCTTTTATTAGGTCTATTGGTATATTGTAGATTTCTGGGCATTTCTTCTTTTTCTTCAGCCTTAAGTAATCCAACTTCTGAACTGTCGGTCAGATAGCTCAGCGGGCTGTGCGGCTGCCTCTCATTCGCTTCACTGTCGAATGGTTTAGTGGATGTGGGTCGAGCCCAAGCTCGGTGTACAGAAAACAAAAAGTCTAACGCAGCAGTTTAAAATTCAGATGAATCTGCGGCTTAGACTAGGATATGCTGGGTTCTGATCGGCCTATGGTGGAGCAGTACGGCAAGAGATAAGGGCTTGCGGCTCGGTGATACTCCTCCATAGATCCCTACCGGACGGCGTTAACGCCTAAAAAACCGGATATATATATATATATATAAGTAATCCAACTTTGGAACATAGGCCTCCCCAAATCAATCCAGTGTCTTTTATTTTGCGCCACTTGCTTCCAGTTGTGTCCTCCGATCTTCTTAATATCATCCGCCCATCTCATTTGTGGTCTTCCTCTGCTTCTCTTTCCTAACCATGGTCTCCATTGTTGTATTTCGTGGTTCCATCTCTTATCCTTCAGTCGGGCATTGTGTCCTGCGAAGCTCCATTTTAATTTGGCAGCATGTTCTCCTGCGTCTTTTACTTTGGTTTTGCTTCTAATCCATTTGTTTGTTTTTTGTCTATAAGTCTCACCCCGAGCATTGATCTTTCCATCGCTCTTTGTGCTTTTACTATTTTATCCATATTAGACTTGGTGAGTGTCCACGTCTGTAAACCACACGTGAGTATAGGGAGGATACATCATTATCATCATTTTTAGCTTTACAACCCTGTGTGGGTCCTAGCCTCCCCAAGAATTTTTTCCAGTCGTCCCTATCCATCGCCTTCCTCCGCCAAGCACGTATTTCCATATTTCTCATATCTTGGTCTATGTTATCTAGGAATCTTGTTCTGGGTCTTCCTCTTCTTCTTTGACCAATAGGTCTATCAAGGAGCGTTTTTCTAGCTGGGTCGGTTTGCTCCATCCGCATTACATGGCCTACCCACCTCAGACGTCCTATCTTAATGTGTTTTACGATATCTGGTTCCTGGTATATTCTATAGAGTTCGAAGTTGTATCGTCTTCTCCAGACACCATTTTCATTTACCGCTCCATAGATTCGCCTTAGTATTTTTCTTTCGAAACATCCTAACATGTTTTCATTGCTTTTTGTTAAAGTCCAGGTTTCTGAACCATATGTTAGGACTGGGCGTATTATTGTTTTGTAGAGTTTTACTTTTGTATTTCTTGATATAACTGTAGATTTAAAAAGGAGATTAAGCCCAAAATAGCATCTATTAGCCGTGCAAATTCTGCGGTTTATCTCTGCGGTAATGTCATTTTCAGTATTGACGAGCGTTCCCAGGTATACAAATTCGTTAACTGCTTCGATGACGTCGTTTTCTATAACAAGTGGCCGTAGTATTTGTGGTTGCGGACCTATTTTCATGTATTTCGTTTTATTAATGTTTATTATTAAACCCATTTTTGTAGCCGCTTCCTTTAGTGCTACATACGCCTCTCGTGCTGCGTTTTCCGTTCTCCCACAATATTGATATCATCAGCATATACTAGGATTTGCACAGATTTGTTATATATTGAACCAGTAGTTGTGATTTGTGACGTACGTATTACTTTTTCCAGAGCTAGATTGAATAGTATACAGGAGAGTGGTCTCCCTGACGTAGCCCGTTATTTGTATTAAAAGGTTCAGAGAGTTCCCCTGGATTCGTACTCTGCATTCAACTTTTTCAAGGGTTAGTTTGGTTAGACTTACCAACTGATTTGGTACTCCTAGTCTATCATTGCTCTAAACAATTCTCTTCTATTTACAGAGTCGTAGGCTGCCTTGTAGTCTATAAATATGTGGTGCGTGTCTACACCGTATTCCAGTGTTTTCTCTAGAATTTGTCTCAGGTTGAAATCTGATGAATTGTTGATTTACCACCTCTGAAACCAGCCTGGTATTGTCCTATTATTCGCTCTGCATAGGTGCCATACGATGGCATAGTATATTGGAGAATATTTTATACCTGCATTTAGGAGCGTAATTCCTCTGATAGTTAGAGCATTCAAAGATATCTCCCTTTTTGTGTATGGTGCAAAGTATTCCAATATTCCAATCACTGGGAAGGGACTTCTGTATCCATATTTCTTTTATAAGCTGCTGTAGCGCTATTATGATATCGTGGTCACCTTCTTTATATAATTCCTCTGGAAGATTATCTATTCCGGTGAAAGGGAGGATACACTGATCGTAAATTCTGGTTTTCAAATATTGTTGTATTTTAGTGCTTTTTAAGATCCAACTTACTTTTCTAAATCTTGCCCACGCTAACCTTATTCTTCTGGTAATAGTGGCAGTTTGATTTTCTTTGTTAACTTTCATTATCTGTCCCAGGTAGATGTATTTGCTTACTGATTGTAAATTTATGTCATTCAACTTTATTTCTCTAATGTTCGGTAGATTTGTCATTTTTTTTTTGTTTTTTCCAAGTTCATCTTCGAAACTTGTAGCGAATATTACAATGTTGTCAGCGTATCTTAAATGACTCAGTTTTCTTCCATTAACATTTATTCCTTTATTTGCCCAGTTAATGTATTTGATCATGTCTTCCAGTCCAAGTGTGAATAGCTTTGGTGAGATAACATCTCCCTGCGAACTCCTCTGTTGATTGGTATAGCTTTAGTTTCACATCTGTTTGTATTTTCATTGTAGCTTTCTTATATGAGCAATATTATGTATGAGCATTCTGTATCGGGAGTCTATCCTGCAGTTGTTCATAGCTCTCTCTATTGTCCAAAGTTCTATCCAGTCGAATGCCTTTTCATAATCAACGAAGCCAATGTAAAAGTTCAAGTGATATTCATTGTCTTTCTCTATTAGAGTTCTGACTGTACGAAGATAATCCGCTGTACTGTAACCCTTTTTGCAATCCTGCCTATCCTACCGGTTGATAGCTATCGAGCTTCGACGTTAACCTGTTAGTTATTACTCTCATATTCAGTTTTTACATTTGGGACAGTAGGGAGATTAGCCTATAGTTCTTCAGATCTTTCCTGTCTCCATTTTTGAAGAGAAGTATTGTCAAACTTTCATTCCAATCATCTGGGACTTCTATTCGGCTTTTCTATTCTTTAAAATTTTAAGTGTATTTCTAACTCTGGTGATTCTTCTTCAGCTTCTATTACTTGTGTTATTATATGTTTAACATATATTTCCTCGGAATATTCCTTTCATCCTTGTATTATTTCTTTTTCTTTTTTTATTCTGTTTCCTTTTTATCCTTAACTTCTTGTATATTTCTTTGTAATTTTCCTGTTAGGTTTTGTATGAGTGTATATTGTGTTTTGTAGGTCGTTTTCTTTAGCTGCTCTCTCTCTCTCTAATAAATTTAATACCTCATTTATATAGTTTTTTAAATCTATTCTGGCTTGTTTTTTTTACTTCTGCCTTTTTTCCTTGTATTTCCTTTCAAGTGACCTCTCTTCTTCCTCTTCTTTGAGGTCACCTAGGATTTATTCTTTGATTTTTTTCCTTTCTTGTATCAGTTGTATAATATTTTATGTTATTAATTTTTTATGTTATCTTATTTTTAAGCCGATAGTTTGGTAAACTAGTACTTATTTTATTATTTTCGTCTCTGATATATCTAATATTATCAAAATCTTTGGCTTTCTTCACTTTAGGTTACGTAATTTTATATACCGTTAAGTTCTTGTTTTATTAAAATTGAATTTTTTGAACTAAAATGGAAATACTATGGATTAAAAGGTGAGCTTTTCTTCACTAACTTACAATTTCATTTGGATTATTTAAAGTAAATTTTAATAATTCATCAGTAAAGTTGTTTAATGGATGTTATATTACAATTGTCTACTTTAAAGTAGATCTATTTTATTGACAAATAAACTAATTTACTTTCAATTTTCGTTCATCTTAAAACTTAGTGTGAATCGTATGCTGTACTGGAGTTTTATAGTATATTTAATACGTGATGTATTTTCTGTTCGTATTGTTATCAATACTTACACTCTTTCTTTATTCATTTCAATAGATTTTGTCCCAACAGACAAGTAATTTCAGATTTTTTCTATTTAAATAAAAATTTTACCAATTGATTGAAGCGACTGTAGTGTCAAGGGAGGTCCTTTCTCTCAATTACAGGCGGAATTTCATGAAACAGGCCCGACTGCACCATTACTGCATTCCAGAACACCAATATCAAGTAAGATATTTCCTTTTCTCACTCAATCTCGATAGCCTTGAAGGTGTATGTCGTATGCAGGTCATCGGAGGATTTTCTCTCACGTGTGATTTTCATCGAAAATTATTGCTATTCAAGAAAATATACATGCATCACGAGTTTAGTTGTTTAGTTTAATTGTTTTTGTGTATTTTCAATTCAAATTTAAGATTTTTTTATTTACAATGTATCTTCGATGGGAAGAAAATATAGGTAGAATGTATTTACAGTTAATTGTCTTATACAATTATTTTATTGATATAAAGAAGTTATTTGGCATCGGATACTAGGTATTATGTGTGTTTTTTAAATTATTATATGTGTTAGAATCCGTAAACTAATTTTCGAAAACAAATTCAGATTTTTGCTTTAATCTGTGCCTTCTAAGAATTTCAAGGCAAAACAGACGTTGATAAAGATGTTAATAGAGACATGGGGAATCTAAAATTTGCATTCCGCGACCTATCTCCTCAACTAAGCAAAAATCCTTAGCGAATTGATTTCTTGTATCCTTGAGTGTGTTGCTTGTGTGAGTCCATTTCAAATAGGTAAAGAAATAATAAATAAGACTTACTCACAATCAATTTAATTTAACTATCAGACGACCGGTTTCGCTTTCTACAATATGCAAAGCATCCTCAGGTCTCGATACAAAGTTAAACAAATGCTGAAATGATAAAAACCCATATTAGGGTGTTGTCTAATAAAGATAAACAAAGTAGATGTTGTAAATTACAATAATTATGCCAATATTACATGTCTGTGGTTTTATTTAAAAGAGTAAGTTGAATAAAAAGTATAAAAGTTTTAAAAGTTTAAACAGACAAGGTAAGGCCCACAAATTGTTATAAAATAGTCTATTAGATTGTAATAAATTAATAAATGAGCAAATAAATAAAATAAACATTACTTACATGCCGGTACTCTATTAATTGATGGATGGTAGAACATGGTTGAAACTACTATGTATTGTTGAATGGAGAACTCAATTCTGTTATTGCAGTTGTTTGACAGTAAACGGGAAGTTCTTGAGGAGATAGATTTGATCCAATGAAGAAGAGATATGTGTGTGATTGTTTGTTAAATGAAAGTGATGTAATATACCATTGTATTATTAAAAGTTATTTATACTTATTCGAGAGATATATTTATGAAATGTGTGTTATTTATTGAGTAATTGTTTTATGAAGGTGACAGTTTTATGACAATGAATAAGTTTAGATGTACAAATTGTGTGGGTGTGCAATTATTTTTCAACTTGTAGTTATCAAATTACTTTGATAAAGTTCTATTGGCAATTAGTAAATTATTGAAAAGTCAAGTAAATAAAATATTAGAATAAAAACAATTAAGGACAATTTAAAACACACTAAAACAGAAAACACTTAGAAGGGACGAAACAAACATTAAATTTAAAAGGGGGAAGGACTTTAATGCACTACATCTCAGTCTTGGGCACAATGAGTTTTTTTATGTGTTATCTATTAGATTTTAGTGGTAAATTTGACAGATGTAGGTTAGCATGTGACAGTTCTTCTTCTGTTTCTCAATACTGCAAGTTAAGTTATCTAGTTTTATGAAATATGCTGTTATTAATGAATGTCTATAAATTGTTTCAATTAAGATATCAAAAGTAAATTGATGTGTTTAATATTGGCATACTTTAACAATCTTTAATTAATCAAATTTAATGTAACAATACGAATAATTGAAATACATCCTACAATATAACTAACTCAGTCTAATGTCCAAATTACTGAACAAATTAAAGTGATTCTTTGGCAACTGAACATGTACATTTTATAATCAAATGTATAACAAGTTTACAAAAGTTTTTTATTTTTATTTGAAATTTTTGTAGGTGTGAGTTATCTGTCATGGTGTTTTTTAAATATTTGAGATATTTAATTCAAATTCTGATATATTAATATATTAATATCTAATATATTAATATGTAACCAAAGCAACAAATGGATAATTATTGATGGTAATTAATTTATGGGCTCAAGAAATTGACTGAATTATAAAGCCTTCAATAATTAGTTGGTAGTTCTAATATCTGACAGTTGGAACCGGAAATTGTTATACGAACAGGTAGAATGATCCTCTATTTAAACCGGTATAAAGTAAATTTATTCTTATTTCAATTTTTCGTGTCATATGAACAGATATTCCTCACACCGACATGAACAATGGTGAGTTTGTACAATTGTTTTAAGTAACACTTTAAAATTTTTTCAATTAATAGCTGTTTGTGAAAGTTAATATTTCTATTTGAAATGTAAATTTGTGTATAATTGTAATTAGTAAAGATGTATTCAATTAATACAGCTAGTCTGAACGATTTACATGTTATGTTGGGGATCCTCAAACCACGTGTTGAGTTTGAAATCAAAATTTTTTGTAAGATGAGTATATTTCGGAACCAGATGGAATGTAATAATAATTGTGGGTTAAATAAGTTGAGGTACCATACCAGTTCAATACTGATATTTAATGTAGTTTTAGGAAAATATTGTTTCTGGTAGTATGTTAAAGAAATTCTGTGAACAAAGAACTAGATCCAAGGGGACCAGATTTTAATTTTGAAGTAGAAGATTTAAATAATCTAAGAGGTGTATCAAATGCATCTGATTATATATGGAATTCTGAAATAAATGTTGTTTGACCATAATATTGAAGTTACTTCTAAAAAATATGTGATGATAAGTATAAGTATTAATTTAAAAAAAAATTTATATAAATAATATTACCTGATCCCACTCCACTTCTTGTTTCTACAGAAAACTTAGAAAATTGTTGCCCCAAACTTCAACTTTTCATATTAAATTTACATTATATTATCCTTAACTTGTAGTATTGAGAAACAGAAGAAGAACTGTCACATGCTAACCTACATCTGTCAAATTTATCACTAAAATCTAATAGATAACACATAAAAAACTCATTGTGCCCAAGACTGAGATGTAGTGCATTAAAGTCCTTCCCCCCTTTTAAATTTAATGTTTGTTTCGTCCCTTCTAAGTGTTTTCTGTTTTAGTGTGTTTTAAATTGTCCTTAATTGTTTTAATTCTAATATTTTATTTACTTGACTTTTCAATAATTTACTATTTGCCAATAGAACTTTATCAAAGTAATTTGATAACTACAAGTTGAAAAATAATTGCACACCCACACAATTTGTACATCTAAACTTATTCATTGTCATAAAACTGTCACCTTCATAAAACAATTACTCAATAAATAACACACATTTCATAAATATATCTCTCGAATAAGTATAAATAACTTTTAATAATACAATGGTATATTACATCACTTTCATTTAACAAACAATCACACACATATCTCTTCTTCATTGGATCAAATCTATCTCCTCAAGAACTTCCCGTTTACTGTCAAACAACTGCAATAACAGAATTGAGTTCTCCATTCAACAATACATAGTAGTTTCAACCATGTTCTACCATCCATCAATTAATAGAGTACCGGCATGTAAGTAATG